AGGAGAGGTAGAGGTAAACCTAGATTAGATTACTGTTCGCAAATAGTTAAGGATGTGGGCTGTTCTAGTTTTAGGGAATTGCGAAGATTAGCTCAGGATAGAGAAAGAAAGAGTAGAGGTGCGTGTCCGACCAGTCAGAACTGGCGACCTTATGTTGATGATGTTGATGATAGGCAGAGATAAAATAAAGTTATATTGTAAAATGCTTAATAAAAATCGAGGTAGCGTTGTTCAAAGAGGCACATTTTTGAAAATAAAAATGACCCCTTTTTTCTTCTTATAGCTACGTATTTAGAATTTAACAAATTAAGTGTCTCGAAGCAATCAATATCTTTGAAGGTAATTTTTATTATTTATCATGTCACATACCTGGTTGGCTGACTTTTCCCATAATATCTGTGTTCAGTATAGAACATATATCCACCATTTGCACATGCTATGTCGTATACGGCTCCGGCCATTAGATTGTCGGTTGATATGACCCATTCACCTCCAAGAAATATTATTATCGGGCCACCACTTTTAAAGCATTCGTCATTGTATAAATATCTCTACGAAAAAAGAAAATTAAATGAAAATTCGACTTTTTGAACTGTTAAAAATATTAAGTAAATGTAGATAAGCGCATAAAGGATAACTATTCGGTAATTGAATAAAGTTGGTTGATAAATTCCCGTAAAATGCAGTTTACGCAAAAATAGAATTAGTAATGAATAAATACAATCGAGGTCATTATTCTAAGAAAAACAAACTAATATGTGAAAGATAAGTTTTGACTTTTAGCAATTTATGGGTTTGAAATACAGAATTTCAAAAATAATTTTGTGTCGGTAACTGTCTACTCAGAAACTATTGTGGTACCACCATGACTTTCCGCCTATCCTGCTGCAAATATATAGGTCAAATCAAGCTTTTTGTGTATATTACTTATACTAGCACCCATTTCTTATTTTTTAAAATTCCAGACGATAGAGCTGTTTAAGTTTCATTGAATGATGTCATCTGGTTATCAGTTTAATTTTAATTATAGAGTACCTACTTATAGTGTTATCGTTTTGGAATTTTTAAATTAACCGTTCGCGAGCATAGAAGGGACTTCTTTTTAATGAAGTCGACTAGACCCTGCGCTATCTTCTGTTTTATATCCCTACTACTCCTTCTGTCCTGCCTTATCTGACTTTCTAGATAAGTACCCAAAAATCAACCGCTTATTTTAATTTTTCGTTTTCTATCTTTGGTTCCATGATTTTTCATCCCCCAACAATATCACCGGACAAAATATCCCCGACAAAATATCCCCTTACAAAATATCCCCGTGACAAAATGTCCCCGTGACAATATATCTCCAGACTAAATATCCCTAGACAAAATATCCCCCCCACCCTAAAAATCGCTATAAGAAGTGTTTTCCAATATTTTATTCAACCTAACCTAACCTAACCTAACCCTGTCAAACTAGCACCATGCTACCTTGCCGTACGTTCCCTTCCTTACCAACCACACCTCACATGATCAAACATAATACAATCCAACCCAAGTCAATCCAGCGCAACCTAACCTAACCTAACCCGGTCAAACTTGCGCCATGTCACCTTATCGTACGTTCCATTCCTTACAGTAGCCTAACGCGACCCAAAAAACGTTCCCCGTCCCTCATCGGCATATCCCCGGCGGATTTAGCCGATCGTTCATTTTTTTTCTTGTAATGTATTCTAAACAAATAATGTGGTACTCGTCGTCGATGGCAATGCGGTGCCGTGCAGAAACGGTGCATGATACGCGAACGAGTGGGAATTAATTATGATTCGAATAATAAATTGAACTATTTGCGAAGTATTGCCAAAATGATATCATTTAATAATTAAAAGTGACGGTTTTTGTTTGTTAGTCGTCAATGTAGTAACTATAAATATTATATTTTTATAAGCTCTAATATTGAATATCAATGTGCTAAAAAAATG